ACAAACACAACGTGAAACGAAAACTGAATTGAGTGAAGTATATGATTTCTACTGTGTGAGTGGCTGCCGTAAGGTAAAAGGAAATAAAGATGCGAAATAAAAGAAGTAAATATAATCAAAGAAATGCATGATACAGGGCTGGCAACCCGTTGTTTCGTTATTTTTATTTTGTTTTCCTCCCCAGTGGTGGTGGTGGTGGTGAAGGTAGAGCCATGGTGAGCTTCCAGGAGGAGGACTAGCAATGCTGGCCTCACAAAACTGACCACCATGTGCGTAATGACTGATAGTACACCCACCTCTCTGTTACTTTTTTTTGTTTTTGCCATTGTGTGAATCACTGCGTTTATTATGAAGAAAAAGACCCTTAGATGACGTTGTGTGAGTCTGTGAGAGTGAGTGTGTGTGCCATTCTCTCTCTCTCTCTCTCTCTGCGCTGTTCATTTTCTTCTCTCCCCTTGCTTGCACTCTGATCCATAGGGGGATACCATGTGATGTGGTGCTGCCGAGCTTCTCCACGAGCCACGTGAGCAGGCTGCCACGAACTAGGGTGCACGATGCACACTGCCGACCATTACAATGGGGCCGGTGCAAACACCTTGGAATGCGTCCACATCTTTGCGTCTTTCTGGGGTGTATTTGGACTATTCGGACCACACTGGACGACAGCACTGTGTTTTTGGTGGTGTTGCAACTGGAGAAACACCGCCATCTCAGCTTTGTGAGTGTGTGGTGTGATGGGAGTGGTGTGCGCATGATTTTCCACTCTGGTGCTCTCCGAAATGACACTGTGGGGCTCCCGCACGAACAGCTCCTTGGGAAACCAACGCGCCTCTCTGCACATGTATCGTGTGTCTCTGCTTTTTTGGGAGATGAAATAGAGAACACAACACGAGAGAGAAAGAGAGAGAGGAAAGAGAAAGTGATGACTAAAATTGGCATTCTCTGACATGTATGAAGATGGATCTTACACTGAATCGATGCCAACCAAAGTGATTGGTGATTTCTTTGTGTTTTAGGGGGGAAACGAGCACTGTACGAGATGATATTCAACACGAGATGTTTGCAGCATAATGATGATGGTGGAAGGTTAGGGTTAGGGTTAGGGTTAGGGTTAGGGTTAGGGTTAGGGTTAGGGTTAGGGTTAGGGTTAGGGTTAGGGTTAGGGNCCACCACATGTGTCGCATGGTAGGTGACGACTTTCTGAGGGGAATGGGCGTGGCTAGGCATCCCTCAAAGAGGGGGAGGGGGAGAGAAGAGGGTGAAAGACAGTTGGGAGAGCATCGTGTCGTGAGGAAGTATGTGAGTATGAGTGTGTGTATGTGTATGTGGCAACAACAGCCTCATGTGATGCCATGGGATGCTGTCTGTTCAGAGGTGAGAGATCCAGTGGAGTGTGTTGTCCGTTTGGGATGAGCACCATGGGTGGAAGGTGTTGTGGGGTGCGGCACTGCGTGAGCCTATGTGAGTGATGAGTAACGGTGACTCTGCGCGGCGGAGCAGAGCAAATGTACGGTGCCTCACCACAGAAGAGGG